AATGAAAATTTACGGATTTTAATTTATAGAATGTAGTATATCTTAATGTCACGGGGTTAAATAGTAATATTCTGATAATGTAAGTGGCTTTTTCATACCTTAAGATTTTGTTCTGAAGTTGCTTTACTACAATAGAACTTGTCTGGTCTGTCTTCATTCATCCCAATTTTCAGGGCAATTTACCCACAACACCAAAAGTTTCAAATTCCCCTGTGATGTTTGGTAGTCTGTTCTTAAGAGTTGAAAAGGGAGTACAGAAAACAAGTTCAATCCTTTTTTTATTTTTCTTTTACCTTTTTGCTCCGAGTAATCAAATTTTGAGGAGCTGAAAGGAGTTGAATGGTGGGGTCACCAATGGCATCCAATCCCAATTACTCTATCCCCGCGTTCGGAGGTGGGCCCACACCCGCCGTCCACGTCGGCCCCACCACCGCCGCCGTCGTGCTCCGCCTGAGCGACGCCCTCCGCCGCCGCTTTCATCTGGGCTTACTTCTCCGCTCCTCCCTCAAGGTAACCAAAAGGGGGCACGGTTAATTAAACGTGCACCGAACTTGGTGTAATTTGTATGATTTGCTTCTTTCGTCGTTGTAATGAGTTAAGTAGGTGGCTTTCCGTCTTCTATGTGTTTGTATGTTTTTCTGGGCTGATAATGTTTTTTGAAGGAATTTCATTATTCAAAGATATGAGAATTTCGAGGAACTGTGTGTTTTTACTGAGAATTACTGCTTGTCTATAGTTGACGTCCTACTCCGAACTCGTTCTGGTTTGCAAAATCCAATGAGAATGGGGAAATTGGAAACGATGATGGGGCGTTGTGTTGATCAAGAAATGGGCTAGAAAAATTTGACCTTGTGACTGATATTGTTGTCTTCAATTTAATCACAGAAAGTTTTAACTCGTGCCTTCTGTGACTGAACAAATTTTAGAAAAACTCTACACAGGCTCGTTTGTGGCAGTTATTTGTATGAAAGATATTGACATTATACAGTTTTGATGCTAGAAACAGTAAATGCATCTGTCCAACAGTTCTCAAGTTCGAGATTTATCCATAAGCCATGATTAATCATGCAATAAACGATATATTGATCTTCCCAATGATTTGTCTTGATAATGTGCCTTGTGCGAAGGTTATGTGTCGTGAGAAGGCCCTCCGAATCAAAGGCGTTGATTGTTTTCAATGGTCATTCGGTGCTCTCTCAAATACATTGATGGGCTTCAGTTTTTTCAATGGAGATGAAGGTGTAAATAGGAAAGGTCTCGGGAAGCCACAACCTATATCATCTAGAAGAAACTTATTCGATGGGAGGAAGTGGACCCACATTATTCTTGCTGCTAATGTCCTGTGAGTATCATAGCTGAGTTACAGAAGAGTTATTTATTATTGACATATGATGCTATAAAATAATAAATGAATATAATTGTAAGGCCATTAAAAGATAGCGTGCTATACAGTGGAAGAATGAAAATTTTCTCTCTTCAAGAGAGTGTTGTATTATTTTTTACGAAATATGCTGTGTCTTTTAATATTTCCATACCTTTTTGAGCATGCAGAGTATATATAGCACAGTATTTTTCAGATGGCAAGCTATTGTACTGGGGAGCCAAGGTCTGCATTTGACAACTCATCTGAGTTCTATATTTTTCAGTTTTTTCATGATGTAAAAAGATCGATATATGAACTTGTTCCCCACAATACCTTGCAGATTAATGGTCTCATTAGTAAAGGGCAGTTGTGGAGGCTTGTTACATCGTCCTTCTTGCACGCGAATTTGGGGCATCTGCTGGTTTGATTTTTTAATTTTAGTCAGCAGAAATCAATGTTGTTTCGGTGAAAGGTTTTGACATTTCACACGGAGAGAACTTATATTTTCAATCCTTTTTCAGATCAATTGCTATTCTTTGAACTCAGTTGGTCCCACTGTTGAGAAGATATGTGGTCCCAAAAGATATCTAGCGATATACATCACCTCAGCAATCACAAGTAAAGATGAACCACCCCTTACTATACATATTTCCTCTTCATCCCTAATATTTATATATATATATATATATTAACATTTAGACATTTATACTATATAATCTGTCCTTTTTCTAATATAGTTCTTTGGCATGTATTAGGTTCAGCAATGAGTTATTTTTTATGCAAAGCACCAGCTGTTGGTGCATCAGGAGCTATCTTTGGATTGGTAGTCTCTTCATCTTTCAACTCATTAAACCTTTTTTTTTTAATATATAAATAAATTGTAATGAAAAAACTAACTAACTTCTTTAACTGCTTAAATGTTGGTGTGATTAGGTTGGGTCATTTGCTATGTTTGTTCTGAGGCACAGAAGCATGGTCAAAGGCACTGAGGCCGATCTAAAACATATTGCTCAAGTGATTGTTTTAAACATGGTATGCCCTATATACCTTTCGGAGGGCTCAAAGTTCAATTATAACTCAACCAACATATGTCCACTCTTTCTGTAAAACTTAATGCATGATCGACGATCATTATTTTGTTAACAACAGAATATGCTTTTAATTTTTCTCTCGTGCACTTATTTTAAGAGCATTTAAATCATGCTAACAATCTTTATCTCAAACTTTGTAAGCTACTGGCTAATAAAATATGGAACTCTGTCATGCAGACTATTGGACTGCTATCTCAAGGCATTGACAACTGGGGACATGTAAGTCGATTGCTAACTCTTAAAGTCATATTTGCATGTGTATATCAACTGATTTCAAGAAAATCTGCCTAGTAGCTCTAGTACTAATGTATTTGTTACTTGATTTTACAAATTCTGCTTTTCACATCTGGCTGGCATGGCCACTCTTGTAAATGTTTTTTTCCTTGACGGGTAATCTGATTATGAAATCTACATTTACTATAGCAACGGTCTTTTTTAAAATGAAACTTGATCACTGTTTCTATATTTGAATATTTTACTTACGCATTCTCTGTACACCAAAAATTGTTTTAGTTTGGAGGGTTAATAGGTGGAGCTGCAGTTTCATGGCTTGTTGGGCCTGCATGGACATTCGAGTCTGTTTCCTATGATGGGAGAAACGTATTTAGGGATAAGGCGCCGATTTTTTCTCTCATCAAAAGACATCCCAAGTAAAGAAAGCAATGAACCTTCAAAGCACATGATTTTTTTCTTTGAATATCTTGTAAATTCGATAAAGACTGGGTTTGAGAATGGTCTGCATGTAACAATTGATCTATTTCATTTGTTTTGTATGAGTGAGAGACATGACTTGAAATAGAGCTTGTAACTGCTCATTGAAGATATTTTATGAAGTGAGGAAATGCGATCCAAATCTTAGTCGATCCTTCAACTCCTTGAGATTTTTCTTTTATTTCGTTAATTAGTATGAAATTCATGAGGGATGAGTTATCAAATGAACTTGCACCAGCATAATAGTGACCCCGCCATCGAATTTCAAGATCTCAAATGAAGAAGGTTCGAAGAGGACAATGTCTAATTGAATTTTTCGAGAAACATATCAATGAAAGATGTTTTCAGCAAAGCCAAGGCTTCTACATTCATTGTGTAGACTAAACACTCGTATTCTAGTCTTGCAACTTACGGCACAAGCTTGTAAATTGGTTTCGTGATCTTCAAGTATGATTGAACTGTGGCTGAAAATAAGAGGAGCAATATTGTGGCTGGAAATAAGAGGAGCAATATTTCATAGAATATAATAAAAATGTAACAAAGAAAGAAAGGAAACAGCAGATAAGTTCAATATTACTCCTTACTGTGAGAACTTGAGACATAAGCCCTCTTACATACTTAAGAACAAGTTAAACACCCAGCAACAAGTGATGTTAGACATTTCCACATAAGAACTTCAAGTGTACACTAAACACTCAGAAAAAAAAAGGATCATTGTACACATAATTCAACTAAAAGCAAATTCTGACCAAAAAAAAAAAAATGTCTTCAATACATAGATTTCAAATAAGTCTTGGTTAAAAGAAGACAACTTAGTTAAAGGGTAACTTGTATATAATAAATAATTCAAAGACACATACTTAATTTTATTAAATATTTTGTTTGATGATATTATCTTAAGATTTTTAAATGCTTTTAAGATTTTCTCAATAAAATTTGAGAGCTTATTTGACCATAGGTATTGTTGATCCCCGAATTGGGTAGTGGGCCACTTGAGAGTATTAAGGCCAATTTAATATTCAGGAGACGTAATTAAATTTCTAGTTCAAAAATCGAAGAGGAATGAACTGAACTAAAGGAGTGGAAAGGCCGGACAAAAGAAGAAGGCTTCGACTCGAGTTGGATAAGTGGGCCGAGTAGAAAGCAATAAAATAAAGGCCACTTACAGCCCAATAATGAAAAAGTACATCTCAGTCAGCTACCTGCTGACCTACTTGTCTTAGCTTAGCTACTACCTCGGTCCTCTCTCGTCACGAAAGGCAAAAGAATCAAGAGAGCGGGGTTGGAAACCGCAACCTCATGGAGGTTACACGTTTAAAGATTAAGGATTTCCTACTT